CCCGACCTTCTTTTTTTTTTTTTTTATCTTTTGTATTTATGTATTTCTAACTTTGTGAAAGTTTATTTCCTTGTTACCATTTTTTTTATTATGTTGTACATCAAAATAATTTTTATGTGAATATATATATTAGAAGCATATATAATGAAAATATATTTTACCACGATAGATAAAAATAACATTTAAATTATAAATAATTAATGATTGAAATTAAAATTTAATTATGAATTTCTTCAATTTTTATAATTATTTTCATTATCATTGATTGACATGATCATTGTTATTATTAACATTATTGTTATTATTATTATCATTATTATTACTACAACTAATATCACCTTCGGGTAGCAATAATGATTAGTAATATTAATTATAATAATATTGGTACGTAGTGATTGACAATGATAGTGAATGATAATAGAGGTATCATGGTTAACATTATTGATGTTACTATTATTTTTAATATTGTTATTAATTACAATGTTATTATTATTTTTATTGTTATTATTATTATAATCATGTTGTCATTTGTTATTAAAACAAACTTGCATTTTACTTTGTACGTTTTTTTTAATCTAGATTCTCAATCCTCACTCACCACATAGTAAGTATAAGGATACATTATTATTTTTTTGTCATTTATCTTATTTTTTAGATTATTTTTGGTTATTTATTTGTTTAAATATTCATTTTTTGTCCTTTAATTTTTATATTTTGGTTGATTTGTTTTTTTAAAATAATAATAATTTTTAATTTTACATCACAAGTTTGAATAAATTATTGATTGATTCAAAATGTAAAACTTGTAATATTAAGTTTACCTACGTGAAAACAAAGAATTCAATTAATGTTCGAATACAAAAGGATTATAAAACAGTAAAAATTATGTGAAAAACATATTTCTCAAATAATTAAAAAAATAACATGAAATTAAGGGGGTGTATTGGATTAGGATTTTAAAGGATTTTTTTAGTTAAAAAAAATCCTGCGAATTTTAAAAGACTTTACAGGATTTTCATGACTTTTACGATTTTACAAGATTCTACAAGACTTAAAATCAGGATATTAATGGATTCTACAAGACTTTTAAATCAGGATTTTAATGGATTCTGTGGGATTTTGTAGAATTTTCGTGAATTTTTGACATTTGATAAGATTTCCGAGGTTTGTAATTTTCAATGAATTTCAACTATATATAGGAATACATAAAATATTTGTTATTGCTCGAATTTGATTGAAAATAATAAATCTCAGTGAAATGTGGGAGTCACCTAGATTTATAATTTTCAACTAATTTCAGGTAATAAAGAGGGTTAGGGACAAAATTGTTTGAAATTTATTGATCATGATAAATCTTAGTGAGTTATGTGAGTCATTGATATTTGTTATTTTCTATAAATTTCATTTATTAATAGCGTTATGTTAAAAAACAATGGATATTGCTTGAAATTTATTCAAAATAATAAATCTTAGTGAGATGCGGGAGATCACCGAGGTTTGTAATTTTCAATGAATTTCAACTATATATAGGAATACATAAAATATTTGTTATTGCTCGAATTTGATTGAAAATAATAAATCTCAGTGAAATGTGGGAGTCACCTAGATTTATAATCTTCAACAAATTTCAGGTAATAAAGAGGGTTAGGGACAAAAATTGTTTGAAATTTCATCGATCATAATAAATCTTACGGAGTTATGTGAGTCACCGAGATTTGTTATTTTCTGTAAATTTCATCTATAAAAAGTGTTATAGAAAAAAATATTAGATATTGGTTGAAATTTATTGAAAATAATAAATCTTACTGAGATGCGGGAGGTGACCGAGAGTTGTAATTTTCAATGAATTTTAACTATAAATAGGAATAGATAAAATATTTGTTATTGTTGAATTTGATTGAAAATAATAAATCTCAGTGAAATGCGGGAGTCACCGAGATTTGTAATTTTCAACAAATTTCAGGTAATAAAGAGGGTAAGGGACAAAAATTGTTTAAAATTTCATTGATCATAATAAATCTTAGTGAGTTATGAGAGTCACCGAGATTTGTTATTTTCTGTAAATTTCATCTATTAATAGTGTTATAGAAAAAAAATATTGGATATTGCTTGAAATTTATTGAAAATTATAAATATTAGTGAGATGCGCGAGATCACCGAGATTTGTAATTTAAGTCAAAGACAAAAATAATAAAAAATAATAATGTCTAGATAAATAATAATAATAATAATAATAATAATAATAATTCTCCATAATATTTTATCCTCTTAAATAGCATTCACCCACATATTCATAGCTATACTAGTCCTCCAAGCATTAGCGTCTTTTCGCTCTTGCTCCTGAGTTTGAATAATAGGTTCAAAAGTATGATCTTCATTAACTGGTAACATTGAAGATGAAGGTTCATCCACCGCTTCAATTGAAAATTCATCAGAACAACATTCTTTACGTAGAAAGATATGTATTGTTGCACATACTAACACAAGTTCTACTTGTTTCTTAAATAAAAATGGAGGTGCTGACTTAAAAATTGTGAACCTTGATTTAAAAATACCAAATATTTTCTCGATTACATTCCTTAAAGACGCATGACGAAGATATTGAACAATTCTTTCTCATTTTCAGGCTCATTACCCTGACCTGCAAAATCTTGTAGATGATATCTTACACCTCGAAATGGAGCGAAAAATTGGCGTCGATTAAGAAATCCACAATCCACCAAAAAAATATTTACCTAATTACATATGCAATATATATAATATTAGTATAATAATAATAATAATAATTATTATTATTATTATTATTTAAAGAATAAGCATTTAGATATAAGGAATATATATATATATATATATATATAT